GCTCAGCTTCCCCGCGCGTACTGCCCCTGCCAGCCTGAGCGGCCTGTCGCGGCCCCTGCAGGCTCCTTTGAAGCGCCCCTCGCTACCTCTCGGCGAGTTGGGGCGCACCACTTGCTCTGTTTCCTCTAGAGTCCGCCCTCTTTGCTGAGCTCGGTGACCTGGCTGACGCAGCTGAGTTGGACGTGGAGAATGAGATTCATGTAAGTAGCTTTGGATGTGCACTTGCTTGTGTCATAATTTGCCCAAGCAAAGCCCCAGGAGCGGAGCAGAGGCAACAGCCCTTTTCAAATACAAAACTCTCTGTTAATTTTGCTAAGTGACGCACTCAGACGTTAGAAGTCTCACACTGTGCTGCAGAATCAAAAGACAGGACTATGCAGCACTTTAAAGACTAACAAGATGGTTTATTAGGTGATGAGCTTTCGTGGGCCAGACCCACTTCCTCAGATCAAATAGTGGAAGAAAATTGGTATGGCCATATATACCAAAGGATACAGTCAAAAAAACCAAAGGATACAGTCAAAAAAATGAACACACATGAAAAGGAAAAATCAAATATCAGAACAGAAGGGAGATGAAGGGGGGAGGTAAATGTCTGTGAGCTAATGATATTAGAGGTGATAATTGGGGAAGCTATCTTTGTAATGGGTAAAATAATTAATGTCTTTGTTTAGACCTAGGTGTAAAGTGTCAAATTTTTATGAGAGAGCACTGACCGTTTCCACACTGCTATTTCTATATTGTCCTGGAGTTGTCATCCATTCAGGATTCTCAGGGTTTGGTTAAGTCTTGTCAAAGTGAACCTAATACCTTGGGGCAATTCATGATCCCCACAAAATCCTGCTGGAAATGAGGGATGGTTTAAATGCTAGTTTGATACTTATTGGGAGTTGTACTCCCAATTTGAGTAAGGAGACAGAAGCTTGTCAACAAAAGATTCTCTTATAACTTAATGTACAGCCTCAGAGCATCTGAACTGATTTAATCTTCCTCTATTTGGAAAGGGAGGTGGAGAGACTTTGTTAGAATTCATAAAATTGGAAGAGACCTAGAGAGGTCATCGAGACAGGTCCCCCTGCCCTCACGGCAGGACCAAACACTGTCTAGATCAGTGGTTCCCAAACTTTTTGGCATCACGCCTCCCCTTTTTGATTTTTGAGAAACCCTCATGCCCCTCCTCCCCAAAAAATAGCAGCAAAACTTGGGGTGGAATTGACGGGGGTGTGTGTGTGTGTGTGTGGGTGTGTGTCTGGGTCACCCGCCCCGGAATTTCTTCACACCCCCCAGTTTGGGAACCCATGGTCTAGATCAAGATTACTCAACTTTGGAAGCCCCGGGGGCCACAATGGTACAGGATATGCTGAGGGCCACAATTTAAGTGTGGTTGCATATACATGCAAATATCTTCTTTCACACTGATGGGCATGAATACAAAGCCAGTCTGCCCGCTTGCATCTTTCAGTGCTCATTCAGCCTGGGAGAAGCCTCGTTGTTGTGACGTGTGTTCCCAGTGGAGGCCATGTTGAAAGGATCCCACCCATGGCCTGCATGTTGAGCTCCGTGTAAGCCCAAACCAAACTGTGGGCCGCAAACAAAAGAGCTGTGTGTTGAATGGCCCTGGTCTAGACCATGCCTGAGAGGTGTCTGTCTAAGCTGCTCTTAAATATCTCCAGTGATGGAAATGCCACAAGCAACCTAGACAATTTATTCCAGTGTTTAACCACCCTGACAGGAAGTTTTTCCTAATGTCCAACCTAAACCATCCTTGCTGCAATTTAAGCTCAGTGCTGCTTGTCCTATCCTCAGAGGCCAAGGAGAACAATTTTTCTCTCTTCCTTGTAACACAGTTTTAGGTACTTAAAAACTGCTATCATGTCCCCTCTCAGTCTTCTCTTTTCCAAGCTAAACAAGCCCAATTCCTTCAGCCTTCCCTCATAGCTCATGGTCTCTAGACCTTGAATCATTTGTATTGCTCTTCTCTGGACCTTCTGCAATTTCTCCATATCTTTCTTAAAATGTGGTGCCCAGAACTGGACACACTACTCCGACTGAGGTCTAATCAGCACAGAGTTTTGCAAAAGAATAACTTCTTGTCTTGCATACCACACACCTGTTAATTCATCCCAGAATCACGTTTGCTGTTTTTGCAGCAGTATCGCTCTGTTTTTGCAAACCTACCCATTTGCATCCCGTCACCATCCATCTTTTTGATGAAAATAGAAACAAAGAAGTCATTAAGCACCTGCCAGTTTCAAGTTTCCTGTTATTGTTTCTCCCTCTTCACTGAGCAATGGACCTACCCTGTCCTTGGTTTTCCTCTTGTTCCTAATATTTTTGTAGAACATCTTCTTGTTACCCTTTATGCCACTAGCTAGATTTAGCTCATTTTGTGCCTTTGCCTTTCTAATTTTGCCCCTACGTATCTGTGGTGTTTGCTTATCTTCATCCTTTGTAATTTGACCTAGTTTCCACTTCTTAGACTCCTTTTTTTATTTTTAGATCATATAAGATCTCTTGGTTGATCCAAGGTGGTCTCCTGCCATACTTTCTATCTTTCCTACATAGTGAAATAGTTTGCTTTTGAGCCCTTAATAATGTCCCTTTAAAAAAAAAACCTGCCAATTCTCTTCAGTTTTTCCTCTTAGTCTTGCTTCCCATGGAACCTTTGAAGACATCAGTTTACTCTAAAGCCAAGAAATAAAATACATCCCACTAAAGTGACAACTTCCAAAAATAATTATTTGTTGTGTGTTTGTGCAGTGCTGAGTACAGTGCTTTCACCCCCTAGATATTACAGCAATACAAATAATTACTAATAAGATGCTACTGGAGTACAAATAATTGTTTGTAATTATTCTTACTACTTGGTACTCAGGTCAGTCTTAGTTTGAACTAAAGCCACAAATAACTCCCCAGCTCAAGTCTGATTAGTTGGAAACCCTGTTTTGTGCAGGCTGAGATCTCCTCTTTCAGGGCATCTCATGTGTATATATTTATGGAGTAGCAAGGCTATCTGAAACATGCAAATGGAGGAGAATGAATCCTTTCATCTTCTTAAGAGCTGTAGTTCCTGATGGCTGCAATACATAAAACTTTCTGTTTTGCATTTCTAACTTACTTTTGCTAAACTATCACCTACAGGAAAACAGTCTTGATAACCTCGACTTTGATTTGGACTTGATGTCTTGGGATTCAGACCTTTGGGATGTGGCAAGACATACCTATTTGGGTAAATTACATGCCAAATGTTTCAGCTATGATTTTCTTAGAGTACCTACTGTGGATAGAGACTTCACTGGTCCTACTTGCTGGCATAGGCTTTTTTTGTTTACAGTGGGGGTGGGGAAACCTGGGTTGGGGGGGTCACTGATCCACAGAAAAATCAGTGGGGCGGGGGGGGAGAGCATCTCACACATGTGAGAAGTAATTAAAATAAGAAAACCTCACTGACTTGGCCAACAAACAAGAAGGGAAAAAAGAGCTCTAGCCTCATGGTGGGAGTGTGGGGGCACTGAGGCTCAGGGCTTACCCGCAGGACCAAATTAACTCTTTTGGGGGGGCCTGAGGCCAGTAGATTTTGTGAACCTTCAGGCTCTGGGGTGAGACCAAAAATGAGGGGATCTGTGTGCAGGAGGGGGCCGTTAGGGAGCAGAGTAGGGGTGTGGGGTCTAGGCTGGAGGTACAGTGCAGGACTGGGGTGAAGGGTGTGGAGGGGAGGTAGGGTGCAGGAGCAGAGTCTGGGTGGGAGGGGATTGGAGCATCTACCTGGCACCACCCTGCGATTGTTGGTAATGGCCCCTGACACTCCCATTATCCTCAATTCCTGGCCAGTGGGAGCAACAGGCATAGAGCCTGCAAGCAAGTGTGGGGACAGAGCTTCCCTGTGCTGCCTTTCCCCTAGCAGGGGATAAGGGAGAATGGCAGTGCACCAAGCCACTTCCCTTTCCCCCTACCCCCCGCCAGATAGAACCTTCAGGTTCCTCGTTGCTGATTTAAAGGGATCGCTTCATTATGTTCCTGGCATGAG